TTGCAAGCCTTCCCAACAACCACGTTTGCAGGTTCCATCATGTTCCGCAAGTGCTGGAAGAACATGCTGGAAGTGCTGGAGCAATATGACGGTGACTGTAATCTATAGAGTGCCAGCGGTTTCTGATCCCTAATCTACAGCAGACTCTAGAAATCATTTACTATCAGCAAAAAATAAACTGTTACGGATTACAGGGAGACAGATGGGGGTTGCAGTCTACTGTACCTCGACTGCTATACTGAAAGTCAATGTGAATGATTTCTGAATACTAATCCAGCGCTGCCTGAGGATGTTTATAGTTACAGTTTTACTAACCCTTTTCTTTTTTTAATTTCTAACAACACAGTTTCTCTGTTCGGTTGCTTACTAGCGGCCTTCAAACATTCAAAGTGCTCCAGGGGCAGAGGAATGACCTTATGATATGACAATGTCATGCACTCACTACTCACAAGAGGACTCTGGGAGGCTGTTGGTTTATGTTCAAACAGCTGACAGATTATTCAGCAACTTAAATGTGACAATCATGCCATGTTCCACATTGCTCATGCCACTCTGTAACCTGAATTATTATTACACACAACTCTCCATGCTGGGCAATCCTTGCTAATAATGTTGACACATTGGCACACAGACTTTAGAACAGAGTGACATCAATTATTCTGTTCCCGTCTTACCCCAGCAAGAATGTCTTGGGCTTGTGGTGAAGCACAAAATAACAATTTGTGGTAGGGATCTCTTGCTTTTCTGGTTAGTCAGTTGTAGGAATAGACCACAGAGATAAACTAGCATCGAGCTCTATGCCAAGAATGATAGGTGAGGACCATATCTTTAAACAGCTTTTATTAAAATATATGCATGTGTTAACATTTATGCTTGCACTGTGTATTGAGGCCATATTTAATTATTTCATTTAAACTTAACTTGTGTGTACCATGACATGTACATTTAAGATATACTAACTGACGTCCTATTTCATATCAGGGGTCTAGCATTTGTTAGTTAAGTCATATTCTCTCAATCCCCCAAATCATGCACTATGTGCTTGGCTCAGAAAATGGGAACACTTTAGCGTAGGTTGCAGGTATAATCAAACTAGTAGTACAATTCAGTTTGATAATGATTTCTTTATAGAATTAAACTATTGCGGGTCTCGGTATTTTGGTATCCAGGCTGGATTTACCCCCTTAAGTCAACTTTCCCCTATTAAATCACTGACCGCAAAACCTATTGGTCGCTGAAGTTGAGATAGCTACCACCATAGTAGCTGAGACTGATTGCATGAGAGACAAACATGAACTTCCTTCCAGGGCCCGGACCAATAGTTGGTAGGAAAGAGGCTGACCTCTAGTTCTCTACAAGTGTCAAGGTAACTGAGGTTTCTGTTACATTTCTCTCCCCCAGGAGGAGAAATCCCATAGCAGACCTCCAACCAGTCTGTGCTTGGATTAGTTGGGCAGTAATCTCTGGCCTTGCTGCCCCAGTCTGCCACTGGGGATGCCAGCTGCATTCCCTCTCTGGTGCTTCTTCTGCTGAGGAGTGATGCCAGCTGCATCCCGTCCCAGAGGCACTTGGGGTGTGATGCCACCCTCTCTGGTCATTCCTCTGCTTTTGGGGAGAGAGCACAGTTAGCGATCCTCCCTAGTGTACACTCTGCCACTGGGAAGATGTCCTGCTCAGCCCCTCTCCCTGCTACAGACTCTACCACTGGGAAGAGAGTACATTCAACTCCTGCTCTGGTGCACACTCTGCCTTTAGTGGGTGATGCCATCTGCATAACCTCCCTGGTCCTCATTTTGCAGCTGGGGAGAGGGCCAGATCAGCTCCTCTCAGTGGCACGTACATGGCCACTGGGAAATGAGGATACTGACCTCCCCTCTCTGGAGCTTTTTCTGGTCCCATCTACACCTCCTGAGCCAAAATACTTGGGTGCTTGTGATGCCAGCTCTTCTGCTGGAGTGGCAGCTGCAACTTTGGTGGCCGATACTCAAAAAGTACAGTGCAACTGATAGTTGTAGACAGAGTCCAGTGGCTCTCTGCCCTGCTGCCAGTTTTTCCACTGGGTTCCCTTTCCTTGCTGTTGGAGGACCATCTGTATGCTCCCCCGAGACGGGATCTACTGCATGTTGAGGACAGAGGCGAGCAATGGTCTGCCCTTATGCTGACTCTTCTGCTGGGGCTGCAAGTCCTTGGTCTCCAGGGCATGCCATCAAAACGTTATAGCGTCCTTTGGTGAGTCTTCACCAGCTGCTACTCCTGGGTAGCCAGACTGACCAGATACGGTTCCAGCTCTGGCACTCCTTCAAGATCTAGCTGTTGTACTCTGGCTTCCCAAATTTCCCAGCAATGGCAATTCGTAGTCATTTTCAAAATTGCTGCCTTCCTCGAAACTCCTCCACAATAATCCAGCGCCGTCAAAACCATCCCTGACTGACAGAAGGAGGAAAGGGCTATTTTTTTACCTCTGATTTTACAGAAATCTAGACATTTCCTAGCAATTCTTCTAGCACATGTATAAATGAAATCTGATTCTTTATCAGTTACGATAAAGCTATTTTTGTCATGACAAGTACCCTTTAATATTGAATCATATTTGCAGACAGAAACCCAGTTAAACAGCGCATTGTGCTATTTTCCAGAAATTAATTTCATAATATGGACACAGTGAAGAGGAACCGTCTTATTCCAGGTTTAGCATAACCTAGAAGGGCTACAAAATATGTAAATTAGTTAACTCTTGCAGTGCTAGAATCACATGTGAACATGTGGCACTACTGAAGAATGTGCCCAACAATGCGTGCGCACCTTCAACATTTCCCAAAGCATTTTGGGTGGTAGATGTGGCTCAAAACAAAAGTGCATCATGAGTATGTTTTTACTCACCTTTACTAATTAACCACAGCACATATTGCAAAAGGGTGAAGGAAGCTGTCACTTGTGTGGAAGTAACATGTTTCCTCTTTGACCAGTGGTGAAATTAACATAGAGGAAGCATTCCCACAATAACATTTTTGATCAAGTGTTGTCTGAGAAATCTCAGCCAGTTCCTGGTGAAGCTGATGGTGTTCTTAAGAAGCTACATATTTCAAACCATAAGTGGTTTGTTTTTTTCCCTATCTTTTATTTCAATTTAATGCCTTATGAAATTAAAAAGAAATTCCACCCTAGAGTGTCAATTTAAGAATTGATATTTGAAACGTAGTAATGTTATTTGAATTCAGTGTAAGCAGATGCAATGCCAAGACAATCTCAAAACTAAAAATGTCAGCTGTATAGTATTTACACTGTCTTGTTATTATTAGTAGCACTGTATTCTAGATTATCTCATTATTAAATATTAAATTGTAACATTAAATCTGTGATAATAAATTAAAATATATTCTTGAAGTAACTTGATACCCTGTGGAGCAAATTTTATTCTGCAAGGATTAGTTATGTGTGAACAACCCAGTGGAGCTCATCCGATGTGGGCATTTAAATTGTCTTTGTCTTTATTGTCAGTGTGAGTTATAAGGGGCATCACTGTAATATGCAGTCACACTACATGGTTCAACAATTCAACCATACATTTGGCAATAATCTGAAGCTGTTTAATTTCTGTTTAATCACGATGGATGGTCAAAGATTGCTTTGTAAACCAGTGATCTGTAAACAGAACACTCAATTACAGTAAATTCAATGTAATAATTACTTGACATACCCACAATGGTTTTTGTAAACCATCTGCAAAGACAAGAGATATTAGATCATTAGTGCTCTGAAAGGCAGTTAATGTGCAATTTACCATGATTACAGAATATATATTATTGCGTATTCATATATTTGAAAAACAAATTCTTTCGTGACTGAGGCATAAGGAACTTCATGTATGTTTTAATTTAAAATTATTTTGGTCCAGATTACATACTCAAAGGGGAAATGTCACTTCTTTGGAAACTGCACAAGTGAATATAACATTCAAAAGCACCTGGAGCTTGCATTAAACCTTTTTTTCATGCGATGCTTAATTTTCTTTCCAGGTTTTATTTATTTAATAAATATCATAACGGAGCTCAGTCATTAGCACACATAGCACTGGACAAGAATAAATAGGAACACCATTTTCTCTGTTCAGACAAGTGCAAAGTGCAGAGCTTCCAATAGTGATTGACAGAGGCGCTCAGTTCCAGGACAAATACAGTGGTATAGATTCCTACATTTCATTTTATTTTCCAGTGCCAGGTAAGATTCTAACACACCCTGTCCAACATCACAACACATCATTTCTCTCTTCTCCATGGGACAATCAAATGCTTCTCATAGAGGCATTTGATTTGACCAATCTCCAGGATCATAGTGCATTAAAAACTCTGAGCCAGAAAGAAGAGGTAGTGGGGGGCTGGACAAGGGAGGGAGAGAAGGGATTTAAAAACAAAACGCAAAATGAAAAAGGGAGGGGTCAAATGATGACGGGGTAAAGGGGAGATACAGGCTTCCTCTGGCAGGGCGTTCTAGCACTGCCTACTAAGGTAGAAGCTCATTATGTCTGTTACACTCAGTTGCACGTCAGTGCACTCTAACGACATGTGTATTTTTGGGGCAGAATTAACATTAGGCAGCCAGGCACAGAGTTACAGGCTGCCTTAGACACGTGTGTCGGGAATGCATCTTACCCCCTAATTCATGTGTGTCGGTGGTACATCTAGCCCAGGTACAAAAGTGGCATTTTTTGGGATGTGCAGTGCTTCAAGCTAAAATGCTGTACGTATAGACTCCTACCAAAAGCAGTAGTGTTCATTTGAATTTTAAATTCACTTTAAATCCACTTAGAATTTTAATTCAATAAATAACCCTGTATGTGTTACACACTCTAGTCTAGAGTATTTGGAACTCTTGAACAAATTCCAAGTATTACATCATAACAATTACATTGTGTTAACCTGTTAATAAACATAAAAGTGGAATGTCTATTTGAATATTTACAAAGAACATACCTCTATTATTAAACTATTTATTTATAAAGTCATTTATTCAATTATGTGTTCTCTTATGCTGGAAGGGTGCCATGGCATTCCTTTTTACATTTTGCCAGTAATTGCTAATGTATGCCATTATGAGAACTCTAAAGTAATTCCTGTAAAATTAGGCATGAACAAATAAATTAAGATGGTTAATCGACTTTGCACTTTATTCTTCATCATATTCAGTCTATTTACATGACATTTACATTTAGATGCAGACATATAGAATTGAGGACTGAAATGTGTTTCTCTGGAGGGTAATGTACCAAATGGAGATATATGTAGGGCTTTGGGGGCTATATTTTGTTTTTGCATTGCTTTTGCTAAGCTCCATAATTAAGTGGTTTTGGTGTATGGATCATCCCCTGCTTTGGTGCTGCTTGGTGCTAAGAGTATTAATTTAAATGAGCCTATAAACTTAAAGACCAGTGGATAAACAGCAGCTTTACAGCCGTTATATATTATATTTAAATATAAACTATTGCACCCTAATCAAAGTGAATCCCAGTAAATAAATAATCAGAGTTTGATTCACCAACCTTTTAAGACAAAGTTTGATTATAGATGGTACTGTTTTCTGGCTTCAGGGTATACAGAACAAGCAATTGTGTTAGGAGGACTGACTGATGATACCCATGGATGGACAGCATAGTGTAATGTAAAAATGCTGTGGAGTGTGTCGTGCTAACAATAACAAATGAAGCCATTTTATTGAACTAAATTTGATATATACATATATATATATATATTTATATCTGGGTTAATGAAAGAACATATTTAAATAATTCACATTTAAATAACATGCATACATTATATTGTTGTAAAGGTTGGCACTTTACAAATAATGATAATAAATAAAACATTGCACATAAAACAGGCATTAATTTAACATTTATTAAACAGGCAGCATCTCCTGCCAGCGGTCTTTTAAAGTGTGTAGATGAGAAAAAAAAACAGAATAAAAGTTATGGTGAGCAATTATTTGGTTCCTACAAGACTAGAGAAAGGAATTAGCTAGCATCACTATTATCATATGGAAGAAAAATCATTCATGAATCATTCATTTTGATAGCAACATCTTCGACTTTCAATCATCACACTACTTCCTTAGTCTACACACTACTTTGATTACTTTTATTTTCTTTCAAAAGCACACAAGGGTGGATTCTATGACAAGAGCAATGTGTATCTCTGGTAAAAGATCAATACATTTCTTATTGAAAATAAAAGATAAATGTATTTCTAGTCAGAGAGTTATGTGCTAGAGTGTGTTTAACAAAAAGACAATCCTAAAAGAAATTTGTACAATTTAAAGGGCAATTAATCCTTAATTATAAAGAGAAATAAAAACATGAAAAAAAAATAAAAACACACCATTAATTTTAAAAGGCCCCGTAGTTCCTTTCCCATTTACAGTGAAGTTCCGAGTTTCAGTGAACATTTTGAAACGTACATGCAAATCGAGCAGTCTAATTGGAGGGTTAGAATGATTTTGTTGTGGATCGCACAGTTCCACACAAACAATTAGGAAAAATGAACAATATCAAAATAAATGTTTTAAAACTCCATATTAAAAATAAACCTAGTTCAATATAGCTGTGTAAGAGAGGGTGCTGATAACTACAGTTTTCACATACTCAATAGGAAGTATATTTTCTTAGTAATTTAATTAGCAAAGATACATCAATCATTGCCTCAATGATTTGATCACCCTATCTTTGTCAATTAGAGCTTTCAAAATGTAAAGTTTCATAGACTTATTTTATAAGAACTAAAATCAAATATTTAAACCTGTACCTAATACTAGTTGAAAGTAACAAGTAATATCTTGTACAAGTTAAAGGGCTTGTGAAAGCAAGTCTCTACTTCAATCGTTGAATAATCACAGTGTTGAATATATTAGCTTCTTCCAGTGTTTGATTTTCATCTGTTAGTTCAATGCTTGGAAATGTTGTAACTAATGTAAATTCAGTGTGGGCGAACTCCGAGCGGGACTGGAGAATAAAGTTCCGTACATCCATTATCCTAGAAAATAAAATACAAACACTCTGAAAATGACATTCAGGGGCCAATGAATTATTGCCTCTCAACACCCCAACTAGGAATATATTGACCTTTAATGCAATTATCTTGTAAGTAGACTATCCCATTGTACAGTGCTACAGAATCTGATGGCGCTATATAAATAATAATAATAATAATAATAATAATAATAATAATAATATCACAGTTTTAGTCTATATTTGTCTGCTTATTTAACAAAGCAGCAGCTTTATTAAGACCTGCGAGCACTCTCTTTTAGACTACATATATTTGACAACAATCCCTGTCACAGATGCCTTGTTACAGTATCATGTTTAGGCCGTGCACTGCAGATAGCCAAAAGATTATTAATACCCATTTAACTTGGTTAAAGGCACACTGTAGGTACTCAGACTACTTCATTTCATAGATGTGGGCTGCTTGCACTGCCCCTTTCCCCTAAATCCTGCATCTGAAAATGTTGCATTTTTATTGAAACTGTAATTTTTTAATTGCAGTCTTAAGACTGCTTCTAGTGGTTTTTCTACCAAACAGACACTATATGTGTTTACTGGTGTAAAACGTAGTTTAAAACTTTAAAACGACGCTGGACGTCCTCACGCTTTCCATGCATCTCGCAAAACCCCATAGGAAAACCTTGGTTCATGTGTACCTTTAACCCTGTAATTGCCACGGAAGAGGTGCGAGAGGCAGAGAGACACTATAGCATTAGGTACATCTTTGTATTCCTAATACTACAGTGTCCCTTTAATCTCCTAGTGATAGACAGTGGGCAAAATGGATAGCCTGGATGATAATATTACAAATGCCTGTTTGACAGTTCTGGCAGCTGTCTTATAAATACAATTACAAATCACTTAAAGGGACACTAGATCCACAAAAACAACTTTAGTTTAATAAAGCAGTTTTGGTGTATAGATCATGCCTCTAAAGGTTTATTGCTCAATTTACTTACATTTAGGAGTTAAATCACTTTTGTTTCTTTTTCTGCAGACCTAGCTGCACCTTCCCTGGCTGCGACTGACACAGAGCAGTGGATAAGAAATTCTAAATTAAACAGAATTGCAATAAATAAAGTGTAAACATTAGATGACTCTTTACAGGAAGTGTTTAGGAAGGCTGTGTAAGGCACATGCAGGAATGTGTTACTATGACTACAGAAACAAATTAATTTAACTCATAAACAGCAGAAAATTGAGCAATGAGACTGCAGGTGCATAATATATACACTAAAACTGCTTCTCTGCCTTAAGATAAAGTTATTTTGGTGACTATTGTGTCCCTTTAGAAGCCAATGTCAGAGCAGAGAGTGGGTGAAGAGTGCTCTCTGCACTGTACACTGTAAAATAATTAGACATTGTTCTCGGACTCAGAGTGATGCATTAATCATGAGCTTCATGTGTCCATAGCTCATAGGATGAATAAAGATGGAGGCTGGAGTAAAAGGACCATAAGTTTATTTTCTCAATGAACACAAATTGTATTTTCTAATTATTTAAATCACCAGTCCCTGCCTATAGAAACTATAAAGTATGTGAGTGCTGCCTCAAATCTCAATATGCTGGCAATAATAAGACGAGAAAACGTTATTCAAGACACAAACCTTTGTTCATTGTAGTCAAATAGTAGAAAAAGCAGATGAGCAATCCACATCACTTTTTCATGCCAAATTTACAGCAGTTTATACATTACTGGCACCAAAGAAATTTATGTTTTTATCATGTTACTAAAGTACAATTGGTAAAATTAATGATTCTTACCTATGGCTGAGGTTGAATCTTTGTATCAAGCGGCTTCCATCGGCTAATCTAATCTGAATTTTTGTTGTAGGCACATGCTCATCAAGTTCAACATCTATATTTAGAAATGTCTTGTTTTCTTCTTCCGGAGACGAAGGTGTACTAATTATTTCAGGAGTCAGGCTGGATTTATAAGTTTTTTAAAACAAAACAAAACATTTTACCAATTGTCAAAGATCAACTATGATATTTAACAAGAAAGTATTACTAAAAACGCAAGTGAAACGATCATTCCAGCAGTGATCCAGCAGGCTGTGGATACGGACCCATGTTTAACGCTAGAATGGATATTGTGGATCTTTTTCCAGCAATTTATAAGCTATTATATTGCTAAGGTCTGAAGCACTTGTGTTTGTAAGTGCATTTGCAAGAATATTAATAGGTTGTTGTAAAGGTTTTATACTGTGTATCTTTTTTTATATCTAAGCTAAATTAAAAAAAAATTAAAATATTATTCCATTGAATAGAACTATTTATTGTATGTTTGTTTAATACATTACAATTGGCTTTTATTTGAATGCTATTTTCACAACAATTTATTTTTCCTATATAGAAACTTCAAATCCCCACCCGGGCTCAAATTGCTCAGTTTTGTCCCAAGGAATTATTGGAGTTATTGTACCTTAGTGGTGGAGATTTTGAAAAGAGACCTTACCGCAATTTGGTCTCTTCGCCTGTAAAATTACATGTATTCAATAGGGTTTACCATACGATAAACCCTTTTCACCAGACATGGGACTGATACATTTATTGTATTTCCCATATGTTTCTATGAGGCAAAATTAATAAGATAAAATTCACAGGCTAAGCCAGGCTATGCAATGTCAATAAAATAATAACAACAAAAATGTTAACACTGTACACACTGGAATTGGTCATATAGTTTTCCCTTGACTATTCATTGCAAACTACAGCACACACAGACAATGGTGTAAGTGTTGTACACTGTGAGTTCTTTTTGTGTATTACTTTGTTAAATATGCTGATGCTTTTTCTGTAATTCTAGCAATTGGTGATTTAATATTTGGCATTAACATACATTTATAAGTTAAAAAAAAATAGCACCACAGAGTGTAGGTTTACAAAGTGTAGCTAATAACAATAATGAAAATTTGATAATTAAATGTTATACCTTCCAAGCTTTTGGCCTTCACCACTAAATGCCTTAAATCTCAACTTCGGTTTAATGTATTCTTGGTCCTGATGATCTTCCATGTCTAAGTTGATCTGACATCCATGAACCATTCTCTTTAGCTCCCCAGGAATTTCTCTAAATAAATAAGAAAAAAATAGGAATTTCCCAAAAACAAAAAACAAAACCTAAAAAAAACCCACACATTCAGCCCTTTGTACTTTTTGTGTAAACATATATCTCACTGGACTCACCAACACAGGTTACCCCATAGACAGTCTGTATAACAATTTTTAAACTAATATATGGTAACCAAATATCAAAGTAAAAAAAACATGACTATTAATCAATGCTTTCCCATGGGGAAATATCTGACGCAGGAAGTCCTCATGCAGTTTGTGAGGACATCCAGAGTCAGATACCGGATCAAAGATCCGTTTCAATTCAGCAAGTCACTTTAGTGACTGTCTTGTAGACAGCCACTAGAGGCGGAGTTAACCCTCAGAGGTTATTACTGCAATTTCTCAGAAACTACAATAATTACCACTGTAGGGTTAAGGGACATTGCACCCAGGCCACTTGAATGAAGTGACCTGGTGCCTACAGTGTCCCTTTAGAAAATTGGTGTTACTGGCAATTGGCACAGGTTGTAAAGAAATGGATATGTTGTTATCCCTGACTTGAGCGGTGACAGTAGTTGTCTGTAAGTAATGCTTTGTGTTTATTTCCAGATATGTTAAATTCTGTCCCATTTTTCTGCATGCATTGTAAAGAGATCACAAAAAAAAAAGTGTTCATGTATGTGTATTCTGGCACACATTTTAAATGAACTGAAATGATAAAAGAGGCAAAACTAGATTTAGATTGCATTGTGAACAAACAAATCAGTATTTTTTTGTGCTATAGGCCATTCAACACATAATGACGGTTTACTCAAAACAGTCGCTTTACCCTCTTTTTACCGATTCCAAAAACTGAGCATTTATTGGGTCTGTATAAGATCTCAGTTCCCCATCATCTAAACTGAATCCATTGCTCCAGAGCTTGAGTAAAATCTGAACCTGTTGTGAAACAAAATGTTTATATTAATATAAAACCATATATGAAACCATATCAGTATAACCCACTGGAATTGCTCTCCAATTTGACCATTAATAGTATGTTATGAACATGTGATATACCTTTACCAATACAAACAAAAGCCAAAAGCCTAAACTCACAAAATATATCTTGTTTGCTTTGTTAAACATGTGGACTTTCAATGTCAGCTTCTCTCAAACCATGACAAAGTTCATGAACACTTCATAACATTGGCAGTGATACAGTATAGGGATTACCGACTCAGTGGCAAGGTGACAGAGCCACGGCCTTGAAATAGTCAATTAGCCTTGAAAGAGATATCAGTGACGCACAATGAGTGATAAGAATTACAGAGAATATATAACTTACAAAACCGCACAAGGCTAAACACATGATAAAGTAACTAAACTGTAAAACTTATTCCCTGAATTAAAGCCTTTACCATTATTCCATATGATGCAAATACATGTAAAACAATTACAAAATACAAATTAATGCAAACCCATAGACATACAGAAGTATTTATTCTAAAACCTTGTTATAATGAAATATGTCCTCATTTAACATTTATTGGAATGACATAAACTGTGTCTAACGCTGCTAACACTTTTACTGGCCAATTCAATAGTTTAATAAATTCAATAGTGGACTTTTAGATTTGTTTCAGTCCGAAACACCAACTCATTTGAATTTGGCCCTATTTGGTGATCGGTGGGATTCCTGAATTCCAAGTTCAAGATGTAACCAAATCACGAACCTACTGAAACGTGCAATGGCTGAGCATGGTCATTGTGGTTTGCGATTCTGCCCATGAAGCCATACTAAAGAAAAAAAATTCTCGGGATGAAAATATAATTTTGCTTCTTTATAAATCGCTGGTAAGACCACACCTTGAATATGCTGTGCAATTTTGGGCACCTGTTCTAAAGAAGGACATCATGGCACTAGAAAAAGTGCAGAGACGAGCTACAAAATTGATAAGAGAAATGGAGCATTTTAGTTACGAAGAAAGGTTAAAAAAATGTAAATCTCTTTAGTTTGGAAAAACGGCGCCTCAGAGGGGAAAGTAAAACATTATACAAATATATTCGGGGCCAGTACAAACCATTATCTGGAAATCTATTCATAAACAGGGCTATACATAGGACACGAGGTCACACATTTAGGTTGGAAGAAAGGAGATTTCATCTAAGGCAAAAAAAAAAAAGTTTTCTTACAGTAAGAGTATTAAGGATATGGAATTCTCTGCCTGAAGAGGTGGTTTTATTAAAGTCCATACAGATGTTTAAACTGCAATTGGATAAATACTAAAAAACATAGCATACAGGGATATAATTTCTAATTAGTGGGGTAATAGCTGCTTGATCCAAGGATCATCTGACTGCTATTTTGGGGTCAAGAGGGAATTTTTTCCTAGTTTGTTGCAAAATTGGAATACTACAGACTAGGTTTTTTGCCTTCTTTTGGATCAACAGCAAAAACGTGAGGAAGGCTGAACTTGATGGACGCAAGTCTCTTTTCAGCTATGTAACTATGTAATATTAATATACATGTTTTAACTGCTCATCCTGTTTTTTTAATGCATGTCCCCACTCCCCGGCATAGGTAAGATGCAGGGATAAGGGAACATCATAAAATATAGACACAAAAACAAAAATCTGCTCCTGACAATGCACACAGATGAAAGCCCATATCCCACCCCACAGAGACAGACATACACACACTGCATCCTCCATATGCACTTATTCTGCATCCTTTACACACCTCGATATGGACTCAGTCTGCATTCCAGACACACACACTCAGTCTGTATCACACACACACAAACACACACACACACTGCATCCGTTATACACTGTATCTACACAAACACTGCATCGCTTTACAAGCACTATATCCCTTACATGCACACAAACTGCATCCACTATACATACACACTGCACCCCTTACAGACACACTATTATTTACATAGCGACCACATATTCCACAGCACTGTACAACAGGAAACAAAACAGACATTCAGTTCTAACAAAACATGTATAACATACAGAAACAGTAGGTGAAGAGGGCCCAGCCCAAACAAGCTCACAATCTACATACTACATTAACTATACACACACATGCATCCCTCACAAATAAGAACTCTTCATCCACTATATAAACTGAAACTCTTACACACACTCACACTGCATTCCCTATAAATCCACACACTGTCTCCAGTATACAAACTACATCCCCTATACATACTGCATTACCTATACACCTACATTACATTCCCTACACACACAGATACATTATATCCCTTAAAAACACATACAGTTCTCCTATCACAGCTCAGAGTGCATGTAAGATGGTGGTGGAAGGGTGGGGGGGCAGCCCTGTAGGCGAAATCGGGGTGGGGCCTTTGGTGGGTCCCATGCCTTGAGGGACTCCAACATTTCTGATGGCAGACTTAAGTGCATATATTAACTGTGTGTGTAAATCGGACACAGACCAGGAGAAATGGGTATCCAAATATTCTCCCACTCTCTTCCATATAGCTATTTTTTTTTTACATTTTTAGATCATTTACATTAAGCAATTACTAATGGGAACTGAAACAGAGATAGCAATAAACACAGTCAATGGAGGTAAAACAGGCTAAGCATGTTTGATAAAAAAAACATTTGGCTAATGACTTAAAAAGGGGAAATTCCTTACATCTTGCCGCCTTTCAAAGAGTTCATCATCCCGTATATATTCAGATTGCTTCACTGCAGAATCACCCAATTTGTATGCTCCACCAGTAAATAACTACAAAAAAAAAAAAAAAATCAATCTGAAGGTCATGTGCAGAGTGTCATAATATATGTTTTTTTACACAAAATAAATTGTGATATTTGATCTTCATCATGTGCACAGAAAGTAGCATCAAAGTTATATTGTGTATGTGACTTTGTAAGGAGCTTGGAATGATATGACTTTGCAAAATGCAAAATCATTTAAGATTTTAACATACAATAATACATTTGCATCAGACCAACAAAATGCTCAACTGCATAATATTGTTTAGTTGAAATGCTAAACACAGCAGGGCTCCAAATTACAGGACGATTATTATACTAACCCCTTAAGGACTGAACCAATTGTACAAGTTGTGATCAAAACAAAACGTAAACAAAACCTTGAATTTGCGCTATATGTCTGTTCAGGCGTAATTCACCTCTTTCATATTATGTGCACCCACACTTATATATCATTTTGTTCAGGAGAAACATGGCTTTCATGTCACATCAAATATTTGTATATTGAACATAATTTAATATGCATAAAATATATTTAAAAAAAAAGAATTTAAGAAATGCATTGCATTTAAACTATAAATGTCACTAAACTGTTAGCTTTTACGGCAATAAAGTAGACATATTTGTACTCAGCAATGTCTCACGGGTAAAACAGTACCCTCCATTGTACAGGTGTTTTGGAAAGTTACAGGGTCAAATATAGCACATTAGATTTTTCAGTTTATACACATTGAAATTTGCCAGACTGGTTATGTTGCCTTTGAGACCAAATGGTAGCCCAGGAATGAAAATTACCCCCATGATGGCATACCATTTTCAAAAGTGAAATGCAGCACATACACACTCCAAGTATCATGACCTCTTCAAAACACTAAAGTGGCATCGTGCTTGGTGTAACCCTTTAACCCCTTAAAGGACCACTATAGGCACCCAGACCACTTCAGCTCAATGAAGTGGTCTGGGTGCCAGGTCCATTTAGGTTTAACCCTATCTGTTGTAATCATAGCAGTTTCAGAGAAACTGCTATGTTTTCCTACGGTTTAATCCAACCTCTAGGGGCTGTCTCATTGACAGCCGCTAGAGGTGCTTCGGCGCTTCTCACTGTGATATTCAGAATGAGAAGACGCCAGCGTCCATAGGAAAGCATTGAGTATGGCTTCCTATGAGACTGGCTGAATGCGCTCGCGGCTCTTGCCGCGCATGCGCATTCAGCCAGCGACATCAGAAGAGGGAGGAGAGTCCCAGCGCCGAGGAAGCCCGGCGCTGGAAAAGAGGTAAGGGATTAACCCCTTCCTCCCCCTTCAGCCCCACGGGAGTTTGACCCTGAGGGTGGGGGCACCCTCAGGGCAACTATAGTGCCAGGAAAACGAGTTTGTAGTGGTCCTTTAAAGGACCACTCTAGGCACCCAGACCACTTCAGCTTAATGAAGTGGTCTGGGTGCCAGGTCCTTCTAGGGTTAACCCATTTTTTTATAAACATAGCAGTTTCAGAGAAACTGCTATGTTTATCAATGGGTTAAGCCTTCCTCCAAATCCTCTAGTGGCTGCCTCACTGACAGCCGCTAGAGGCGCTTGTGTGATTGTCACTGTGAACGCCAGCGTCCATAGGAAAGCATTATGAATGCTTTCCTATGCGACCGGCTGAATGAGCGCGCAGCTCTTGCCGCGCGTGCGCATTCAGCCAACGGGGCAGATCGGAGGAGGAGAGGAGACAGAGAGCTCCCCGCCCAGCGCTGGAAAAAGGTAAGTTTTTACCCCTTTCCCCCTTCCAGAGCCGGGCGGGAGGGGGACCCTGAGGGTGGGGGCACCCTCAGGGCACTATAGTGCCAGGAAAACGAGTATGTTTTCCTGGCACTATAGTGGTCCTTTAAGTTTGGTCCTTAAGGGCAAGATGTCATTACAGCTCAAAATCTATCCACAATCCTTCAATGATCGTTGTGTTAAAATGTTTATGTATTTTGTGAGGATTAATAAAACCTATTTTATGTTCAGTATCATTTCATTTTAGACAGCGACCATTTTATTTTGCAAAGTTTGGCCTACCATGTAACAGTCTCTAGACGTTATAGTAAAGTTCTCCCACAGGCATTATACTTCACAGTACATTTTATTTGGTTACAGTCACTGAAATATTTATACATTGTTTTAAAAGATTTATTAAAAGATATATTTTAATCCACATACTTTCATCCCTCTAGGACATCCATTTGTTCTTGCAATATACCATCTATTACCCTCACAGAATTTGGAGTGATATTTTGTGGCTGGTATATATATAAGTCTTAGCTATAAAACGTGTTGGACAAAAAAGGCAGCAGGCATTGCTCTTTAATGGAGAGTTTTTTTTACATTTTGGATTTTTATTTTTTTGTGAAATGATGCAGGAAGTAGTAATACGATCATGAGAGCATTTTTGAATTTTATAGCATAAATATCCTTGAAAAGATTTTCACTTGTAATGAGCTCAACATTAAATACATAAAAAGTGAAAGAAATACTAAGACACTATTTTATATACTAAATATTTTATAACAGGTTTAAAAAGGCACTTAAACTAAAAGAGGGACAGACATTGTGTATATACATTTTTAATAAAATGCTGCATTAAAATAACAGTGAAACGAAACCCCCTGGTTAAAATAAACAACATCCATTAGCTATAAGGTATGAACAGACTCTTTCTTTTATCTTGACTCTGAAGAGTATTTTCTGTATACACTCACTCTTAATCTCACTCTTGGATTGAACCTCCAAACCTTAACAATTCATATTAGTGATAGAAATCATGGCTGTCCCAGAATGTGTTATTTTACTTCTCTTTCATTATTATAATTGGATTTTATCTAAATCTTACTTGCTTCATTAAAGGGACACTATAGTCAGAAGAACAACTACAGCTTATTGTATTTGTTTTGGTGAGTACAATCATTCCCTTCAGGCTTTTGCAGTAAACATTCAGTATCTCCAAACTCTGCATGGAGGCACTGAACTTTCCTCATACAGATGCATTATTCAATGCATCTCTATGACAAGAGTCTGATTGGTCAGGACTGTGTTGGCTCTGCCCCTTGTCTGCTTCCTTGATAATCTAGAGCCAATCCAATGATTTCCTATTGTGATTGGCTGAGATCACCACTTGTAATGATGTCAGTCAAGGAGGCAGATCAGGGGCAGAGCCAGCAGCAGCAGACTAAAATAAACGTAAGATTATACTATATTTAGAGGGGCAAGTGGAACCAGAGATAGATGGTATTTTTGATACTATAGGGTCTGGAATAAATGTTTGTGTTCCTGACCCTATAGTGTTCCTTTAATATATAATAAATGAGCAGAATTTACATAGATATTGACCCTTGTTCTATGTAACGGCACCCCCAGGCATAAAAGGGTTAAACCGCCGTTTAGTAGATCTTCCCTTCCAGAGACACAGGCACAGCTACTGCAGAACACCAAACTCTCGAACTGAATACAAGGGAAAGCTCCAAACTCCCGAACTGCATACAAGGGAATGCTCCAAACTCCCGAACTGCATACAAAGTAGCACTTCAAACTCCCGGACTGGAACCTCACGAATAGCTGCTAGCAGACGAACAGGAAAAGCACCCAAGCGGCTTATATTCCTGGCAATCAGTCTCTAACAGCATAGAGTAAATCCCCCCAAAGATGAGACAGAGCTCCGTGTTGAGGGTCAAGCAGTGGTCTGGTTTATTGAGGGCTACCGCCCAGTATTTATGCAGGTCTCCCACCTGGTGGACACCCCACTGGGGGACCAGATGGAAGACTGTAACACAGACAGACATGTATCACATTCAGACACACAGAAGTAAAACATCCCCACAATGCATCCTAATTTCCCTCCCTCTATCCTGGAGATAATTGGGAAATAATCCAATTATCTCCCAGGACAGAGGCAAAACTCCATTATACACATGGGGACACAAAGACAGTAAAATACATTAAAACATACAGTGTTACATTTAATACATAAAATCCATACATGTCACATATCCCCAGATAGCTGGGACCTGAGCGCACATAACTACCGAATAGTGCTCAGATCCTATTCACACAGTTCAATTGCCATGGAGCCAAAGTCTTTAATTACACGAATAGGCTCCATGGCATAGCTATCTGGGTTAAAACATTCACATAGAAAAAGTCCAGATCAATCCAGCGTTCGGCTAGACAGCCACGAATAGAAGCAGGGAAGGCTGGAGGCTCAGCAGTGCCTGCACATAAAAGTGTCCGCTTTTACTGCACTGATTCCGGGCTGAGCACCGCTGGCCGTCTGGGAAGCTCCTTAACACCGCCACCATCGGCCGCTAAGTGTAACCGCGGCCACCCAGTAACAGTCAATTAAGCTGCGGTTAACCGCAGCTACTGGATGGTCAATTGACGGCACACACTAGCTTCAGGGAGGTGAATTGAAAGCACACGCCAGCTTCCCGGTGGTCGCGCCTTCGGTATTTTGTTCGGTAGATAAAATATACCGAACGCCCTGGCAGAAAGGCATAAATAAGCCTTTCTGCAGGGAAAATAAAGTATTTTAAAAGTCCGGTCCATAGTCTAAAGGGAGCAGGCGGGCAACCAGGCTCCTCCAATGCAATGTGGCGAGATTGCTCTCGTCACACTCTATTACTATAAACAGATTATAATAGGTATCTGTCGTGACCATGACAACTTATGCTTTTTTTGAACGAGAATCAAATTTAATTTATACATTGTGCTAGCAAAATATCTCTTTCTCCTACATGTCAGTCAATTCTTCTGCTTAAACTTTATGCCAAAGAATTGACTGACCAGAGAGAGCAGAAAAGAACCACAGGTAATCCTTCTGTAGTTCACACATAGCAACTACAATGCATGCGCTATGGTTGCTGTGGAAACTAAATTCACTGCCCTCTTTTTCACATTGGATCAGAAGGACTACAAAGAGAAAAATGTAATATAAACATATGACAAAGGAAAACCTACTATGTAAAGAAAAAAAAAATCTTTATTGAGATAATACTCTAAAAATGTGCATCTGTCATATGCGAATTTGCAATACATAACAAACATACAATGTAGAGAAAACTTGAGGGACCTCTTAATTTTTACTCACCAAAAGTAGCAAAAAACACTTAAAAATAATTGTTTCTATAATGATCCCGAAACAGGCTGAGAAAATGCTACAGTAGTTCTTGTCTTGTTACTTAGTTGCACCGGTGACATCTAGTGGTAAGAGTAGAAAAACTATCCCTCCATACAATTGTAACAATACACTATCCTACAATTGTATCCAACCAGTGTCACAAACTTAACTGGACACAAGCCCAGTATACCAACATAACTTAAAGGACCACTATAGGCACCCAGACCACTTCAGCTTAATGAAGTGGTCTGGGTGCCAGGTCCATCTAGGATTAACCCTGCCTGCAGTAAACATAGCAGTTTTAGAGAAACTACTATGTTTACATATGGGTTAATCCAGCCTCTAGTGGCTGTCTCATTGACAGCAGCAAGAGACGCTTCTGCGCTTCTGACTGTGATTTTCACAGTGAGAAGATGCCAGCGTCCATAGGAATGCACTGAGAATGCTTTCCTATGGACTGACTGAATGTGCGCGCGGCTCTTGCCGCGCATTCACCCGAAGAGGGAGGAGAGACCCCAGCACCGAGGGAGCCCGGCGCTGGAGAAAGGTAAGATTTTAACCCCTTCCTCAAACTTCAGCCTGGTGGGAGGGGGGCCATGAGGGTGGGGGCACCCTCAGGGCACTATGGTGGTCCTTTAAGCATACATTCCCAACTTGATTTTAGGTAGAAGTAGAGACTTCTTTTGCCTAGTCTGAAATGCCTCTAAACATCTCATAACACTCAATATATAGACAAAATGCTCACCTCGTCGTTATAGATATTCATTTAAATGTGACGCTATGGAGGTGTAGGTGTTTGATTTTTGCTTTCTTTTATAGACCAGCACTAGTTTATTTTCATTTAGACTGGGGAAGGAGAGTGTTTGCTATTGCTGCAGTAATATAGCTGGTCTTTAATTGCCTTTTGGTAGGGCTGGTGACCAAGCATGTGCTTAGTCTATTTCCCTTATATGACAGACTAGACTGATTATATTTAGGTAACTGCTGGGTAGCTTAAATTGTTGAATGATTGAGCTACTTTGGCAACTTAATTTCTCTCACGCCAAAGAGGCTATACAGGGCAGGTTAATTACCGAGATTATTTTATGTCTATTTACCAAGCTAGCCAATCTTGTATTTCAGATACAGTGTTAGGAGATGTTTATAGGCATTTTAGTCTCAGTAATACAATTTGCTACTTCTATCTAAAATCAAGTTGAGAATCATGCTTAAAGAAACACTATAGGGTCAGGAACACAAATGTGTATTCCTGGCCCTTATAGTGTTAAAACCACCATTTAGGTGGCTTGCCCCACTTTACCTTATTTCCAGTGCAGCATGTGTCCACCTGTGCTGGCCCTGCCCCCGATTCCCCTCCTTGCTGACATAATCAAAATGTATGATTTCAGCCAATCCAATGCTTTCCTATAGGGAAAGGAGGCAGGATGGGTGGGGGGTGAGGAGGGGCAAACCCTGGCTTGGCCAATAGGCATCATCTCTAAAAAGGCAGTGTTTGCATTAAAATGCCTGCAAGGACTAATTATACTCACCAGAACAACTACATTAAGCTGTAGATGTTCCGGTGACTATAGCATCCCTTTAAGTTATGTTGGTAGACGGAGCTTGTAGATGTGTGTCCAGATACAACTGTACAATGGTGTATTGTTTCAATCAAATGGAGAGCTAGTTTTTTTGCTCTTACACTAAATGTCACTAGTGCAAGGAAGTATCCAAATTAACAAGACTTAACTACTGTAGAATTTTCATAACCTGTTGTGTATCAACAGAGTAGCACTTCTTTTTAAGTGGTTTTTGATACTTCTGGGAAGTAAAATTTAAACCACGTTTTTCCACTGTAGGCAAAAAGGCCCTTCAAGTATTCTATGCAATGTATGTTTGTAACTTATTGCAAATTTGCCATAAGGATAATGGGTCTATACCCATTATGTGCGGTTTAATTGTTTAATTGCACATGCCTATTGAATATGTATTGAATATTTTTAGGGTATTATCTCAAAAAGTTTTTGGTACATAGGAGGTTTTCCTTTGTCATCTATATTAAGTTTGTCCATTTTAGTCCTCATGATCCCATGTGGAAAGGAGGTGACTGAATTGATGATAATTCATTACTTGGGTTAAGTCCTTTTGCCCAACAAAAGGGAGGGCATTGTGAGTTATCATAACACGGAATTTCCTAGCCAATGCTGGCTATGGAGTATAGGAAGAGTCACACTGTTCAGACCCTGGCATGTTGTCGTTGAGAACAAAACAGCATGCTTCACAGGGGGTGTGCCCTGCTTAGAGAAATCTAACACCCATGAATGGAGGTGAGGTGAGTATTTTTTCAATATTTTACAATTAATATGTCATGCATCTCTGTGATAGATGCTGTATTCAACATGCATGAAGCCAATTTAAAGGGACACTATAGTCACTAAAACAACTTTAACTTAATGAAGCAGTTTTGGTGTACAGATCATGCCCATGCAATCTCATTGCTCAATTTTCTGCCATTTATGAGTTAAATCACTTTCTTTATACAGCCCTAGTCACACCTCCCTGCATGTGACTTACACAGCCTTCCTTAACACTTCCTGTAAAGAGATCTAATGTTTATACTTCCTTTATAGTAAATTCTGTTAATTTAGAATGTTGTATCTCCTGCTATGCTAATAGCTTGCTAGACCCTACAGAATCCTCTTGGGTGTAATTAAAGTTCAATTTACAGACCAGGAGATAAAAACTTTCAAAGTAAGTTACATCTGATTGAAAATGAAACCATTTTGCTGTCCTGCAGGCTGTGTGAGTCACAGCCAGAGGAGGTGCAGCTAAGGCTGCATTAACAGAAGAAAAAATTTTTTTTACTCCAGAATGGCAGAGAATTGAGCAATGAAACTTAAGGTGCATGATCTACACACCAAAACTCCTTCATTAAACTACAGTTGTTTTGCTGACTATAGTGTCCCTTTAAGGCAAATTAAAATATTATTACAGGTTCCCGTTACATAGATCTTTAAATATGTTTTATTGAAATGAGCAGACCATATCTAGATCTTTACTTGCATTTACACATATCTGCATACTTCTTATTCACCTTGTCCTTGTTAATTTTTCCATTACACTAAAAAGAGCATCAATATTTAGTTACAGTGTTATTTGCCTTCATACAACTTTAAAACTTTGATAAAAACACCAAAAATAGCAAAACTTACTTTTGCTTTAAAAAAATCTTCATAAGCTTTATTGGCTTCTTCTACGGGGATAGCTCCATGCTCCTTTGCCTCCTTAAAGAGTTCACTCACTATTTTACCTGCTGACTGGATTCGCACATCACCTATAAAAGATCTATACACACCGATACTCCATCATTGTTAAGTAATTTTAACAAAAAAATAAAATAAAAAAATAATATATATATATATATATATAAACAATAAATGTGAAACACAGCCCCCACCCTATATTAATAATTTAGAAAATAAAATATAAAAGTATAAAAAATATAATACTGAATGCAGTGCCAGTCTATACAATATAAAACAGAGGTGGAACTCAATGATACATTTAAAAAAAAAAAAAAAATTATAAAAAATGTATATCTATATATATAATAAAACACAATAAATAAAAGAGGCAGGGGGGTGAGGCAGCAGTACCGAAATAAGTAAAAACCTCTAATTATGTTAAAAATAGAAAAACAGATAAGAAATGGACTGCGCTATCGATATATTATTATATTAGAGGGAATCAATGATAATATATAATAGCGCAGTCCGTTCCTTACCAGTGCCAGTATAATCAAATATTAGGCCAGTGTAGCTAAATTGAAAGCATTGCTGATTTTGAGTTTTTTTTTTCCAGTTTGCCTATTTGTTTGCCTGTGTGAAATTCACTTTGAATTCTTAAGTAAGTGGATAATGGTGTTACTTTGACAGTGTCCTCTACCCGCTCCTTTTTATAGTCGAATCCTACGACAACACCGGTCAATATTGTGATTTCATCATTGCTTTAATTTGGACTACTTTGCAATCCTTTGTTTTTAGGTAGTGTAACAATTTTGAGTACTCTTTCACATGCAACAAAAGTGCCAAGTTTCAGGTACACTTTTCGCTGAAAAACTAGAAAGATTTGGTATTTAGTACCTACAGTTGCTCATTTATAAACAGGCCAATCTTAAATAATTCAGATGAATTTCCAGAAGTCAGCCTTTTGCTACTGCAGCTCCGGTAGGAGTCTGATTATTAATTTAATGTCAACAGCGTTTATACCGCAAATGCATTATAAAATCATGGTACTCTGACATGAAAGGATTCTGAACAGATATTTTTTTACTTTATGTTTTAATTCATAAGCTTCCAACAGTTCACAACGATATTTCACAAAGACTCATACTACATAAAGAGACAGAAATAAAGAGCTAGAATGATTAACCTCTTGCATGAAGGAATGTGTACTGTGCAAGTTTATCAGTCATATAGCAAGCCCTTGTGGCTTAGATACAGTATTACAAATGTCACAAGAACGTTTTCAGGGATCAGTCTAGGTTTAACCAAATCTAGCAGTGCTCCCCCAACTTGAAGTTTTCTTCTTTAACATTCCTCTATTCAAAACAAATTTAACCTTATAAAGGATGAGATTTAATTATATACACATTTTTATCCAATGTTCCTGTAACAATTTTTAATTGTCTGATTTATTGCTAAATTTCCCATTATATAATATAGCACTGTAAAGCACTGCGGAATATGTTTGCAGTGTTATAAATGACAATAAAAATAATATAATCTATTTGGAATTCTATTTGTCAAACAAGTTTACTCTTATTCAGTATCTTTTTTTGCATGTAATGCTTCCTAAAATGTTTTTACTCGATGTTCTCTCTGTCTGCTTGGTATTGGGTAGTAAGGAACATGTAGTAATGTTTTATAGTACTTTGTAAAATAGTTCCCTGGCGTGATTTGGGCATCGTCTGAACAATTAGTGTGGCATTTGTCCTGATGGTTAATACAGTATTGGTGTATAGTATCTTTAATTCTTAACACCTTTTGGAGTGAATATCAATACATTTTAAGTAATAGTTTTGAAATGTCACTCAGTGTCTAGAAATCATTAGCACATATTAACTGAAGTGTAAAATGTCCAATTAAATATAATTAGCAAACTACTGACAAATTTAACTTTACCTATTAGTAAAAATGTATTTTCTGTTAAAGTCAATCACTGTGAAGCTTTTTTTTCCAATCCATTCCCTATCATGAGTGAGTATTTCTGCAAGCCCATCACAGTTAATTGGGCTGTTATGGTGCAGGTAGTCTTTGGGCACTGTGCCCCAGTTGGTTTGAATTCTATCAAACCTAGTTTGACAGAAAACAAATGATATTTATTGTTATATGTAACCATAGAACTGGTGATTTTCCTTCCAGTTTTAGAGCTACTTAGTTTTTCTGTTCTTTATCTGTTTGTTCCCAAACTCTGACTCCCTCTAACATTTAGCCTAACTACTTTTATTTGTGTTTTTGTGTTACACTCTTATCTGTTTTTTTGAGGTATATTTTTGCTAGTTTGACAGAAACCCAGGCTTACTTGGCACTTCCCCTGCTGCAGCTCACCTAGTGCAGAACTGCATCGGTTCACCCAACTTTTAGAGGCAATGATTTGCTTAAGTCCATGTTGTATGATGTTATAACTCATATATAAGTTTCTATCATGTCTATTGCTACAAGTAAATTAATTAATTAAAATATAAACTTTAATACAATAAATTCCTGGTCTCTTTCCATACACATATCACAGCCAGAGCATTGGATGTAACAATATCAAAAGTTCTTTAGACTATCAACTATAATGAGGGAGAGACTATGCTGGAACATAGAAAAATTCTGATGTCCCAGAGTGTCTGTAAGGTTTGTTCTGTTACTTTGTCAGATGATGATCGCCTGTTAAATACCACTATTTACTTGTACTATGATATTTACAATAAAAACAATCTCCAGTTTAAATCTTTATTAAGCCATCATTTGCCATGTGTCTTATCCAAAGCCCATAGTGCTTCCCCACAGCATGTGTCAAAAGGGTGCCCTGGTACCTGGTTGAGAACTGCCAAAGCCCTTTCCATAAACCTCAAAGCCAATATTGCCAATTGTGCTTAAAGGGACACTATAGGCACCCAGACCACTACGGCTTATTGAAGTGGTCTGTGTGCAGTGTCCCATTCTCTCTTAGTCCTGCAATGTAAACCATTGCAGTTTTTGAAAATCTGCAATGATTACATTGCAGGACTAAAACTGCCTCAAGTGGCTGTTAATTAGTCAGCAACTAAAGGCACTTCTTGGTGGCTGGGCAACTTTTTGTAGCCTAACTGACACTGGACTTCCTCACGCTATGCATGAGAACATCCAGCGTCAGTTAAATCTGTATATGAATGCACTGAAACAAGGCTTTCCTATAGGGAGGGCCTCATCACGCATGCGCCTTAGCCCTCCCACTGGGTGTCATCGGAGGAGTTTTTTAATCCTTGCAGCGCTGGAGGGAGAGGGGCAGGGGGAATCGAGGGAGGGGTGGCACTATAGAATACCTTTAATTCTATAAAACTATTAATACAATTCTTGAAATAGAAGACTGTTCTGTCTAAAAAACTGTCGGAAAGACTAATAAATCTGTTACATCACCAAAAACATTGACACATATTCAAAACTGACAGTTAGAGTACCATGTAAGCAACAGATTTAATTAAGTGCTCAAAATGTTTTCCATAATTAGATTTCCTGGCCATATCCATGGCAGCACAACAATGGAGAGCTCCTTCCTATCCCAACCTTATTAACACAAAAGGTTTAAGTAACCCTCCAACCCCTCACACCCGAAGTCTTTTTATTCCTGTTCTATCCTTAGGCAGACTTGGTCATCATAAGAGATTTTTTCTTTTTGGCTTACCTGACGGTTTTTACCTTCTGCCTCAAGGGAGTTCAGCCTCTCTTCCTGTGCAAAGGTGACCCTCTGAAGATACCCCTTTGGTGATCGGGGGTTTTACTTGCTGTGACCCTAAGGGTAGCAAGATCATGCCATCACCAAATTCCCTGCAGTTACTCAATGGGTAGGAGGCTGGACATGCACATACAGAGAAGAAAGGGTGGGGAAACAAAGGAAGCAAAACAGCTTCTGGTGTAGTAATTCCCACAGTGGCAAATACAAGCAGAAAAAGTGGCTTCTCACCTTTTTAGGAGTCTAAAACCTGGCTCCTGGTATATGGGTGTGTGTGCCTTTAAGGGGGCTACAACCCTTCTTTTGCAGTAGGATGGAAGATGGTCGACTGTTCTCTTGCATAAAATAAATTTAGTGAACAAATAAAGTAAAAACATATAGCATGCAAATAAAATGTTCTAAAACCAATAACAGAAAGTCTTCCTCCCGAAACGTGTTTCGTTGTATAATGACATCTTTCTCAATCGGTGTCCATCCTGCTGTGTGCTAGTTGGTTTAAATGTCCCTCCATTCCTGTCCATAGGTGTTTCGTCTGTGAGCTCTTACAATCAGGCGTTTCCTTTGCCTGAGCATGTATTGCGTTCAGCTGAGTATCATATGATGCTCTAGCCCCGCCTAATGACAACACACGTGACCATTAACGTTCAGAGGTCCAGTGTCCCCTTAGTACACACATATTTAAGCAATTTGAGCCTATCCTGAGAGGCTCTTGCCCATGTGAGTGGGATCACTGTGTATTTGTAACACCATAGATAGTGCTATAATATACGTTATTACAATATTGCACTATAAGTTTTCTGTTTCAGATTTGTATATTGGGATATACTGCCTATATAATGTATACTGTGTTAACCCGTAGGGGTAAGTTTGTATTATATGAAGCGCTCCAATAACACACCGGGGGTGATTTATTGATATTTTTCACTTCCGTGTGCTTTGCTTTCACATATACTTCTATAGGAAGAAGAGATCCTATACCTATGTTGTAGCTGCTGACACATCAGTATCTCTTATGTTCAATATTTAAAGTTCCTATTTCAGCACACATTTACCTACTATTTTATGCACATACAGAGCATATGGATTGCAAGGATTAATATGACATTGACTAATATTCCATCGCTGAAAGAAATAAAAGACCACTATAGTGCCAGGAAAACATACTCGTTTTCCTGGCACTATAGTGCCCTGAGGGTGCCCCCACCCTCAGGGTCCCACTCCCGTGGCGCTGAGGGGGGAGGAAGGGGTTAATCCATTAGCTTTTTTCCAGCGCCGGGCTCCCTCGGCGCTGGGACTCTCCTCCCTCTTCTTCCGTCATTGGCTGAATGCGCATGCGCGGCAAGAGCCGCGCGCATTCAGTCAGTCCATAGGAAAGCATTCTCAAAGCTTTCCTATGGACGCTGGCGTCTTCTCACTGTGAAAATCACAGTGAGGAGCGCGGAAGCGCCTCTAGTGGCTGTCAATGAGACAGCCACAAGAGGCTGGATTAACCCATAGGTAAATATAGCCGTTTCTCTGAAACGGCTATGTTTACAGCAAAAAGGGTTAAACCTAGCTGGACATGGCACCCAGACCACTTCATTAAACTGAAGTGGTCTGGGTGCCTATAGTGGTCCTTTAATGTGAGACTAACTAACATTCCATCACTAAAAGGGTTAACTAAAACTCTGCTATCTTGTACTTTCCCATGCATTTACTTGCCATGACCCTAGGAGAAGCAAGATTATGCTATCATATTATTTCCTGCAGTGACCCAAGGGGTAGCAGGCTGGACATGCATATACAGAGCACATATATGAACATAACTGCTTGTATCCTTCACCGGTTTCATCTAAAGAGTTTCCTGCTAACTTTAATCAAACGTATTAGCCACAGGTTCCACTTATTCTTAGGCCTCTATGGCTTTTAATATAATCGCTTTATGACTTTTAATATAGCTGCTGGATTCACTTATTCCTAAGCCTCTACTGCTTTTATTATAGCTGCTGAATATACTTATTCCTAGGCCTATGTGGCTTTTAATATAGCCACTGGATTCACTTATTCCTAGGCCTTTACTGCTTTTAATATAGCCCCTGGAATCACTTATTCCTAGGCCTATATGGCTTTTAATATAGCCACAGGATTCATTTATTCTTAGGCCTTTATCCGTAGTGCTTTAAGGTAGAGGAGTACCGTTAAAGGGGATAAAAGTAACATCTCCAGGATGTACTTGGAAAAAAGAGAATATCTGAATGTATCTTTCCTGGTTAAACACTTTATTATTATTTCCAGTGCCTTTTTAATACAGCTGCTGGGTTCACTTATTCTATGTGCCTTTTAATATGCATTCACAGCCATTTGCCACTTTATTCACTTTTTCTAGGCCTCTGTGATTTGTAAATACATTTGAGGCTATTCTCCGCCTCATTCCTAGAATGAATACTCTAAAGAATTCTTGGAGATGAATACATTCATGCATTGATCATCTCTAAAAGCCTGTGTGGCAGCTGGCACAGGCTTTCATCCTGCTGTAAGATCTTACCTCAATCCCGTAGGATCTAGGACCATATTGGAGATAATCTTCCTTTTTTTCTACTGTTGACAATTTGCAAGTAATTAGGCTGGAAATACTCTTCAGCTCTGTAGGTTGTGTTATACTCTAGCCAGAAATGTGATTCTCTGTGTGTACTAGTCAGACTCTTTTGCTCAGTACCTGGTCAGCGGAAGAATGGATCAAGAGAACTGCAGAGGGCAGGAAAGCTTGTCTACTTAAAGACCTAAGTAAAGGTTATGTTAGCAATTTCAAATGCAGCTAGAACACAAAGATTATGTTTCTAACAGGTTAGTGGAGATACATTCTAGATCTATGTAAGTTTACACGATACTTGAAAATTTTTCATCATAAAGGCTGCATTCCTCGTACATTGGATGGTGTATGTAGACTGCAGGATGCTTATTTCCATATACCCATTGCACCACATCACCAGAGGTTTCTCAGATTGCAGTGGAAGGACACTTTAATTTTTACACCTTCATAGTGAAAAGATGTCTGCTGAAATCACCTTGCTCCATCCCAGTTCAGGATATAGCTGGGAACACGGTTCGAAACAGTCCAAGGTACGGTACAGTTCTCTTCAGAAAGTGCAGTAAGACTTATCAAGTAAGCAAAGGATGTTGACTGTCATATTACCACAGCAGAGAGAGTTTTGTTCCAGGTCCTCCAACATACGTCTAATAAGATGGGCAAAATGGAGGAGATTAACTTTTCTATAGCAATCCCTTGGACAGTAATAACTATGAATACCAAGCACGGGGGTTAACTAACTTCTATCCAAAATCAAATATGTTCGTGTAAGGGAAATCCTTAACATCCAACACCTCTCTTCTGCATAGGTTGCAAGAGTCAATATCATTTCTGACAGTTCCATATTGATACACAATCCATGGTTTTCACTTCTGCTTGTCTTCTTCAGTACTTCCATGGCATCTCCCAAAAGAGTTCTTCCCTCCTCCAGTGCTTCTCTTCTCATTCTGAAGGCTTGGATATTTAAAAGAAAAGTTTTTCAGCAGCAGTAATTAATACCCCTCTGAAGGCCAGGAAAAAGTTATATCCTCGGCTACCTTTACAGATTTGGTTTGTCTTTTCTCCTGGTCTATTTCTAATTAGGTGATCATTTAAATTCCTTCTACCAAGGAGGTTCTAAGTTCTTCAATCCAGACCTCATCTAGGATTTAGCCACATCACCTCAGAGGTAAATGTCTCAGCACTCTCTGATCTCTCTTTTCGTAAAGGTGCTTTGATATGGAGGTATCTAAATATCTGTCATTGTTTATTTTTATAATCCCTCAGTTAACCATAGAGTCCCGTGGTATTCTTGCCTGTTTTTTTTTTTTTTTTTTTTTTAGGACTCTGAAATCTTCCCCCTTTTAACCATGAGACTCTCTGCACAATTGCTTAATATTAAGTTAGCTCTATCGGTGACATTAGCATCGGGCAGAAGGATATCAGAATATCAAGCACTATTTTGCATAGAAATTAATCCTTCAGCTCCAAAAGACTATTGATTGGAATGAAGGCTATTTAATGAAAAGTTCTCCTATTGACAAGGATAGATGTCTTTGGATCTATTTTTATAGAAATACTATCTTGTTTTTTTCTGAAAGTCTGTTTATCTTTCCCAATAGACCAGGAAAGGTCTTCAAGCTTCTATATAAGCCATCAGAAGATGGATAGTCTTGACTATTTTCAGGCAACTAAGGCCCAGGGGTTACAGTACCTGAAGATCTGTTAGCTCTCCACCAGAGCCTTTTCTCATCTTGAGGATCAGTGGCCAGGTTTCAATGGAACTAATAGGTAAAATGACTGCTTAGGACCTCACTCAATACATTTTTAAGAAAATTTGTGGGTACATTTAAGTTGGTCAATTTGATAATGTGGCAATAGTGGATTATCAGTTTTTAATTTCCAATGTCCTTATCAGGTGTGTGTAACCAATTTGCATTCATATTTTGGAAATCTTGTGTATTTCTTTCCCTCGCTTAGCTATTGCTTGGGTATTACCCATTATTGGGCTGCTGTGGATATGGTCAGGAAAAAGGAAAATGTATTCGTACTTACCGTAATTTTATTTTTCTGGTCATAGACCATGGCAGCACAAAGATCCCGCCCTTGAAAATTGCTAGAAACAAGACTGATGGTGGGAGGGGTAGGAGGGGTTGCTTATACCTTTATTTTAATTAGGTTCCTATCTAATTAAGAAAAGGGAGTAGCTACCCATTGTTGTCCTGCCATGGCCTATGACCAGGAAAAGAAAATTACAGTAAGTAGGAACAAATGTTCCTTAATACTTTGATATACTTTTCCCATTATTTGTAGTTGCACAAAACTTGTTGCGAATAAAAATGAATAAATAAATAAAAATAAATTAAAAAAACAAAACAAAAAGAACTTGCAAACAGCCTTAATACCATAAGTTATATACAGAGATTATTTTTTTTGATTTACCTTTCATGTGGAGACTCTTGGTTATTTTCTAAAATAGACATCGGCAAGTCAGATTCTGAAGACCGGTCTTCATATCCATCTTCACATAGACGGGCCAAAGCCAACTAAATAATAATGATAGTAAAAATGCAAAGTGACCACAACTTCCAGCATGTGTCTATTAAGGATTACAACAAAACCACATTTTATTTCAAATAAAGTACAGTATATAAAACAATATTAGCTGCCACATTCAGAGTAAGCATCAGCAGGGATCTAAATTAAAATTTTTGAATGACTTTGACCCATCCAGTGTAGGGCTTTTTTTTCCCAGAAAGAATGGGAATGTAGAACAAATGTACCCAATGTCATCTTCTAACAGAGCATCCTCAGGATCGTTATCCTTTACATGGTTGGCCTATTTGGATAAAGAAGGGGTTTGAAGGTTTTGTTTTCTCTCAAGTTTAAGAATTGTGGGACAGGAAGCATCCAGTCAAAAGCAATCCTCCTGAAACGTGGTCAAACAGACTGTCCCATCCACTGTCAGTCCTTCTAAAATCTTATCAGAGAACATCCTATATTATCTTATCTATCACCCCTTTTTGTGCCCCAGGCTCATTGATGGCCGTAACGGCCAGATTCAACTCAATCTTGAACAACATAGAGATAGAGGAAGAGTTATTGCTGTACCCAAAATTCGAAATTGAGCAGCCTGTTAACTCTGTGCTGCTAACCCTGTACCCTACTGCTCAAAACAGGGTCAAACATAAGTACAGACAATAAAGAAATCATTGCAGCACAACTATATGCCAAATGTGCTACATACAGTTCATTTGAAGGACCAGAAAAAAAACAAACGTTTCAGGGTTCCCCGTTGTCAATGTTAAAGGACATAGACGGCAGTAGCGGCTTTTATTTGGCTCATTTGAACATCATAATTGTAAGCACATGTTTAATTATTAATAATGGTTGCATTTCAGTAGCTTCACATGTGGAGATTGTCCACTTTTTGATGCCCACAGTGAATGAAACAAAAATTCTATTTTTTTCAATTAAGCACAACCTGTATTATAGGGGGAGTAATTTTATGAAGTCCTACAAAAATATATATATATATTTTTTTTAACTTTGATACTTATTCCAAGAAACTGGGCAAAATTCTGTATCTCAAAGGCAACAGTGTGGATCATCTGTAAAAGCTGGTGTAGCATGTGCTTATGGTGGACTTCATGAACTGATATATTGTTGCATTCGTCAATTTGTAGGTATATTTATTTTTATACATGCTTTGTACCGTGAAAATCTATTTATTGTTACAACACTGTATGTGATAATTTTTTAATTAATTATTTTAGCACAGCATACTTTGCTAGTTTGTATTTGACAAAACTGTTGGCATTTTTACCAGTATAAGTGGGTGGTGGGTATCCTATTTTTGTAAGCAGCAGCTGATTTTAACACATTTTTCCAACTTTAAAATTTTTTAAGTGCTATTAGACTTATCTTTTTAGTGGACTTTTCAATAGCTTGCACACTCTAAGCATACTGTATTTAGCAATGTTATCCATCAGAAGCCACTCTACCGACCTTGGGAACTTGATATCATTGAGGTAAAAGATAAGTTCACCTTGGGGATACAGTAATAGAGGGTCACTTTGCTTCCATTGAGCATCCCAACAATATATATATATATGTGTGGGTATTTCGGTCCATAGAAGATCTAAAGTAAAACTTTCTGGGATTGACTCGGGATTCTTCTCAGCAACAGGAGAATCAATCAGCACTATCTCTTACTTTCCTGGATGCCAAGACATCCACAATTGCTGGGACGCAATCTTCCCAAAATCAAAATGGCAACTGAAAATAGGCAATAGTGTTACCTGTTAGACCTGTGATGGCTGCCATGATGTAATCACAGGAGAGGAAAGCTAGAGAACCTACCTCTCAAGTGTCCCTATTTAGATGCAAAGGTCCATATTTTGGGCCCAAATCCTTCTGTCCCTTTTTTCTATCATAATATCCTTTTTTTTTCTAAATCCTCTATATTGTAAGTGTGTCTGAATGTATAACAGAGCTACTCAGCAATAATACTCACAGTAATATGTCTTTAAACTATTAATATTATTATTATTATTATTGCCATTTATAAAGCACCAACAGATTCCGTAGTGCTTTACAATATAAGAGGGGGGATTTAACTATAAAAAGGACAATTAGAAGAAACCTTACAGGAATAGGTTGAAGAGGACCGTACTCAAACAAGCTTACAGTCTATAAGAGGCGGGGAATAAAACACAATAGGACAGGAGATAGTAATCAAATAACATGGGTGAAGCAGAGCTGGAGGAGACAGCAAGAGACAGGTATGTGAGGTAGAGGTTACTCTGGGAGGCCATAAGCTTTCCTAAAGAGATGGGTTTTAAGGCACTTTTTAAACGATTGAAGACTAGGGGAGAGTCTGATGGCGATAGACAGGCTATTCCATAGGAAGGGAGCTCGTGAGTTGGCCATAGGGGTGCAAACAGTGGACAGGAGAAGGTCATGGGCAGAGCGGAGAGACCGAGAAGAGGTATACCTATGTATCTGTGAAGAGATATAAGAGGGGCTAGAAATGTTTAATGCTTGATAGGTATGGGTTAGTACTTTAATTGGACTCGAATAGGATCCAGGAAGCCAATGTACGGGCTAACAGAGGGATCAGGTGTGAAAGGACTGACTGGAGAGGAAAATCAATCTGGCAGCATTAATTACAGACTGTAACGGGGCAATACGGCTTTTGGGAAGACCAATTAGGAGAGGGTTACTACTATAAATCTATTTAGAAATCAGTCTGTGTAAATGAGATTCATTAATCTAGTTCTAAATTACACTTTAGTTGTATAAAACGTTATTAGCAAGTCACCTACATTTTCTCAAAACACCTACGCCTTTAGGCACACCTTCACTCACACCCTAAAATTAAAGTGTCCTTCTTTGTACATTTGAAATATTAACAGGTATAAGAGAATGGGAGGACACAATGTGCAAAGGAAATTGCAAATAACGGTGGAAAACAAATACAAAACAAGAATTGCAAAGCAGCTTATTTAAAAGACGCAAAGAAAGAGGTGCTGGTTACAAAGACATTGCTATTAGGCCTTATGGAACATTCTAATCGGGCGTTAATGTGATGCAATTTTCAAGTTTTGTTTTTCTTTTGTGACTTGCATATATAAATCTTTTTGTAGCTGCTAAGAATATTAAAGAGAGATGAACGCATATTATATTATGGATTTTATGATAAAGTCGTCTTCCCTTGCTGATGATCTCAGCCAAACCCATTGTGAAGTACTGGGGGCTAGAGCGCACATGCAGCAATTACTATACTGACAATCAGCATTTCCTCCAGAGATGCATTGATTCCATGCACCTCAACATGAAGACATTAAATGTCTCTATGCACCAGAGCCACTTGTCACATTCACAGCCAGTACACACCTGGTTGGTCTGTGGTCTTCAAGAGAGATCCAGCCATGTGATCTAGCAGTTCTTTAAATGCAAAGCATATCCACCAGTAAGTACTTGGTTGTTTTGTAGCCTGTCTCAAACCTCCTAGCATTATTGTTCCAGTGTATCCCATAGTTTCTTTACTTTGGCTCACTTCCTGATCTTGTTGCCTGCCCTGACCTATGGACCATCTAACTCTGCTTTCTGCCTCACCCCTGTTCGGATACCTTGCCTTCATATAGGCAGGCCAAAGCCAACTAAATAATAATGCTAGTAAAAATGCAAGAGCCCCGGGCCATCACTGAGCTGACAGAATCCTGTTCTCATCCTCAGGTTTACCTGTAGGTCATGTTTGTAAGGGAGAGCTATTTTACTGCATCTGCGTTCCAGAACCAAACACAGTCCCATTGGTTGTCACACCACTACATTAAGCTGTAATGGTTATGGTGCTTAAAGTGTCTCTTTAATATAAATTATAATAATAACAAAAACAGAAATTCTTCTGTTACCTCCCTAAAATGCAAACCCTTCATTAATTTCCATTTAGGTCAAGAGTGCTACCATCGACCCTACTCCTGCAACTCTCTGCCATGGAGATCTTTTTTACTTCAACCTTTCTTTCAATCCCCTCACTGTCTCTTGCCTACAACACTGCAATCCACTCTTCCTCTGTTTTAAGTAGGCCTATATTGTCCTAGATTACAATGCATAATGAAAGCAGCTGCAAGGCTTCTCACACATCAACAAATTGTCAATCATTGTATTCAAATTCCTACACGCTTAAGGATCAAACTGCACTTTGTAAACTGCATACTATAAGGTTTACTACATTCTAAAATTGAACCTCAATGTACATATTCATGCTAATGGACATGCACGTCCCATCCCTGCCCCTTTGCTCTACCAACAACAACCTACATTTATGCTTTGTTGAACCCCTTAGCTCTTATCTACAAGACTTATCTAAGACTGATTTGATTATACTCCTCCTTCAAAGCCAATTACTTTAGAGAATTTGCCATGCACTCATTGTATTGCTCTGTAGAGTGGGAAAAAGCCCACCTGAAGCATCATAGGTAGATGATGCTACCCTACACCCAAATTGCATTTTTTACTTAGCTACACTACTCATGCTTTAAATGCTTCAGTAGCATTTAATTGGGTGACAGTATGAGGAAGTAAAAGGAAGTGCAACTTCCAAAGAAGTGAGAGTTCTGGTATAAATCCAAAACAGAATTTGAGAGAACATTGAACAGAAACATAGCAGCTTCCCCCTCAGTTATGCCTCTCTCAGGTCTCAAACACATTTTAACTCATGTGTACCAACACAAACGGTAACCTATACAATTTACATTTGCAGTCTGATCCCACGTATAAGGAAACCCCAGAACTGAATGGCAGCATGTGACAGTTTATCCTTTTTGAAATCAGTTAGGGAGATGTAACCTCTCGACACACAATGCAATGAGTCCCACGTCTGGATTGCACTTTTGACTTAGGTAACCCATAATCACATACAAATAAAGGTTGATACCTGCTCAGGCCTCATGAACATCTAACAAGATTATTCACTAAAGTAGAGATTTCCAAGAATCTCAAGTTTTAGGCCAACGTAGCCAAAATAGAAAACATTAAGGAAGACTGCGTAGGTCAGAATTATCCCATGTCCACTTCTGTGATGGATTAAAGAATGGCCACTTAAATGGTAATGGAGTCGCTGTGTCGTTATTATTACTTAATATTGCAGGAAAAAGGGCCAGAAGCAGGGTTCGTTTGGCACTGCATCCACAGTAGTCCACTGGGAGAGGTGCCCGAGTACAATCTTCTTTATTGTCATAAAGAAATTGAAAGCATGGGTACTTGGAAGATTTTTCTACATTGAATTTCTGACAATTCACATATCAGTTAATAAACCTGCTTGTATGTTTACATTTAAATTATCTTATGGTTTACAAACAATAACGTGCATACTTTGTATACCAATTGTCCACTGTTGTGGAATACCCTGGCACTTAAAATGTATAATATTAATGTAACGGATCACCTGGCACCCCGACTGGGTACCTCCGTTAAAGGATGCTCCTAGCGTTTCCTGAGGACTCCAAGCACTCTGGCAGACACCACAATCACCGAACCGGAGAAGCATATGAGTACTTCTAAGCATTTGAATGTTGTATACAGCCGAATAGGAAAAACCATGCAAATAGGTTTACACTACTAGCAGTCAAACTGGAACAGCATACAATAAATCCTCCCCCAATAATGAGACGACACTTCACTTTGAGGGCTAAGCAGGAACTCTCTGTAATGGCCACACACTGGCTTTTATGCAAGTCCCCATGCAAGGGGACATCCCACAGGGTGGGACACAGTACAACCAATCGTTTACAGGAGAACTGTAAAACACACTGTAACGGACCGTTTTGCCCACAAGAGGTTAAAAACCGTTTAGGCGATCTTCCCCTTTCAGATGCACAGACAGCTACTGCAAGCACCAATCTCCTGAACTGCAAACCCACGAATTCACCAATTCCCGAACTGCAACCAAGGGAATACTCGAAACTCCCAAACTGCATACACACGAATAGCTGCTAGTAGACGAACAGGAAAAGCCCCCAAGCGGCTTACACTCCTGGCAATCAGTCTCTAACAGCATACAGTAAATCCTCCCCCAATAATGAGATGACACTTCACTTTGAGGGTTAAGCAGGAACTCTCTTGTAATGGCCACACACTGGCTTTTATGCAAGTCCCCATGCAAGGGGACATCCCACAGGGTGGGTCACAGTACAACCAATTGTTTACAGGAGAACCATAAAACACACCCACATTTACATCACAATCCCTCCTCTCTGTCCAGGAGATAATTGTGAAGTAACCAAATTATCTCCCATGACAGAGGCAAGACTCTATTAACCACATGGCAGACAAAGGACAATAAAAGCCATAAAATTACATACAGTTACATTTATTCCATAAAACATAGACATTCTACATATCCCCAGATAGCTTAGATCTGAGTGCACATTACTACCGAATGGCGCTCAGATCACATAAATACAGTTCAATCGCCATAGAGCCAAAGTCTTTCATACAGTCTTTCAGTATACGCCTGGGCTCCATGGCATAGCTATCTGGGGTAGCATGGCTTTAACAGTCCGCAGAAAGGCACGAATAAACCTTTCTGCCGGTAAAATAAAAGTTTAAAATGCAGGACCATAGTCTAAAGGGAGCAGGCGAGCAACCAGGCCTCTCCAGTGGACAGTGGCGAGGTTGGTTCCGCCACACACACCCAGCACAAGCATACATCCCTCCCCTCTGCCTGTGATATAATTACTGAACACAATGGGTTAATGTAATTTATCACAGGCAGGAAAAATACACTTTTTATACATACACTGTAACTTTAAAAATATGCATCATATTCACATAAAACACAGAATCAGCATACTTTAAATATAAACATAACCAAAATTCAGCCAATTCCATCCGGGGGTTAAAAAGTTAAGGAAAAGTCCTATTTGACCAAATGCAGCATGGCTTTTCTGCCCACAACCAGTTCCACAGAGTCTTCTATCCTGGAGATAATTGGGAAGTAATCCAATTATCTCCAGGACAGAGGCAAAACTTCATTGAACACATGGCAGACAAAGGACAATAAAAGACATAAAAATACATACGGTTACATTTATCACATAGAACATACACATTCTACCTATCCCCAGATAGCTTAGATCTGAGCGCACATTATTACCGGATGGTGCTCAGATCACATACATACAGTTCAATCGCCATGGAGCCAAAGTCTTTCATACAGTCAATATACGGCTAGGCTCCATGGCATAGCTATCTGGGGTAGCATGGCTTTAACAGTCCGCAGAAAGACACGAATAAACCTTTCTGCAGGTAAAATACAAGTTTAAAATGCAGGACCATAGTCTAAAGGGAGCAGGCGAGCAACCAGGCCTCTCCAGTGAACAGTGGCGAGGTTGGTTCCGCCACAATTAATAACAGAAGAATTGTCATATGTGAATTACACTGCATAAAATAATTGAAATACTATTAAAACGGCAAATAGCTACGTGTTGTTCCGATGTATACTTGCTCTCATTGGATTGTATTACTCTTAATGTCTCAATAAAAATTTAAATAATAAAAAAGCAAATAACTGACTTAAATTGATTCATTACTCATATACTTACTGCAACTGTGCATACATTTAAGTGCATGTAACATTTTCCACATACATTACATATAAATAAATCAAAGAGATACAATGATAATTATTTTTTTTCACCCAAATTTTTATTTTTATAAAGAATATCCAGTATGTATTAAAACAGGCCCTGAATGATCACTTTATAAGAATAATGCATGTCTCTGCCTGTAATAATCCAAGGCTCTCTTTGGATCAAACCATATTAGGCTCTGTCATCTGTTATGTATTTATAAGGTATGTACATACACTGAGCAATTGAGGACAGTCAGGAACTCCTCAGATGGAATCACAGAGACAAATAAATAAATGGAACGTATATCCTGTGAAAATTGTCTTTTGATTACTAGCTAAGGAAAATGTTTTTGCAGCAAACTCTACACCATAGTGAATTTAAATAAGCAACATTTAAATCAATAACAGTTGACCTGGAAAAATTAGCCAACTCAGCTGTAGCCAACTCAGTTTGTCTTTTTTTTACCCTAAAATGTGCCATTTGGTTATACACCAGCAAACAATTTAGATGTGTTGTGAATAAACCCCAAACATGTTAATATCAAAGTGAATCAAACAGAATTTTAAATACCAGGAGGAGGGGTAGTGGGGGGATAAGGGGAAGCTGAACTGAAAACACAGATGAATTTCAATATTTAATCTTTTTCAATTTGGTATTTTGGCCTAAAATATGACATCTACAACAATTCACATAATTATGAATAATTATATATGAATGAAATAATCATATAACAAAGCAGGACATTTAAAGTCACACATGACTGGTGACTGGTCCATGTCAGAATGGATCAATCATGTATTTTTGCTCGCTTTTTGTCTTGACAATATGATCCATTGGTGTCAAGGTACACTAGTGGGATACCTATAATGGCAGGGGATATACACAGGTACATACACACCTGTATGTCCAGGACTGACGGTCTCTGGACAGCTCTCCGTCTCCTCTCCTCCTCCCCATCTCCCTGACCCTGCCATGCTGGGTACTGACCCCCGTCCACCTCGTCTTCCAGTGACCGTGACTCCCCTTCCTCCTCCTCCATGTTCAGGGCTGGGGAGCCAGGGCAGCACGACACGACCCACGCGTCACCTGTCACACAGCGCTGACGTCGCGGCTCAGTACCAACCAGACTCTTCATGGAACGTTCGGTGGGCGGTTGTCATGACAACTCATAGTGAATGCACGCAGAGAGAGGGGGGCGGCTGTTCCACCGTGACGTCACATCGACCTTTCGCCTGTTGGCTGCGTCTTGTCCCATTGACTCCCTGTGCAGTCTGAGTTGGGAGTTTGTCAGCTTCATGTTATCATTACAGTGCATCATGTGTGGTCACTAACTGATGCTTGTATGAGGTCATTTTTAGTTCGGTGTTTTGTTGGATGTACTTAATGGCATGTCCTAAAAAAAAACAGAAAATTAGTCTATTGGGGTTTAATCAGTAAATGGTGATTTTTTTATTTTTTTTTTAAGGAATTCAAGGACAAAATAGAATTGGAAAATTGTCACATCGCATATGTACCGTAATTCAGGGCAAGAAGCAAAATACCATTTTATGTCTATTTTATTTTTCAAAAGAACAGGCATGTGCTCAATTGGAAAAACTGAATACAGTGGGCAAAAAAAAGGAAATGTGTTTTGCATTAAAAATTTTCTCCAATATAAGTGAAAAAACGTTACTACATGGACCTTACAAGACGTGTTACCTTCCACCTACCTGCCCCATACATTTTAGATGGGTCAGTCCAAGTTGTACCCTGTTTACTGTGACACTTTGTAACCCTACAGCATGATATAGAATTGACTAAAGTAAAGTGCATACAAATTAAAGGGTTACTTCAAGCACCATGACTGCTTCAGTTATTTGAAGAGGACGTGGTGCCTAGTGTCACTGTGAAACACTACACATACTGAGTTTGACACCTTTGTTGCTGGAGGTGTAACGCCACCTCTGGCAGCGTCACTGGGACATCAGCCTGTGACAAAAATTCAGGGCTGGCTAATGTTAATTCTGTGCATATTTATATTATATTTAAATTACAATCTGGCTCTGGCACCATGTTTTATTTGTTTAGCCCTGCTACGAGTAAGTGGCAGGGCTGCCTTGGTGGGCTGGCCCTAGGGTCGGTGCAAGGATTTTTGGGTACACAGGCAAAGATGATTTTGGCATCCTTTAAACCCTCCCCCCCTAAAAATGCATCTTCACCTGTGTGCCTCTTAACCCACCTTATGTTTCTAATCCTCTTTTTAAATTTCTTGTCCCCTTTAGTGTATCTTATACCCTATTTTTCCCCATTGTGTGTCTTGCACCTCCCTGGTGTATCTCTTACAACCCTCCTTTGTGTGTCTTACTCCCCCCAGCGCCTTTGTGTGTCTCTTTCTCTCCCAGTCCCTTTGTGTCTTTTACTCTTTCCAGCTCCTTTGTGTATTTTTTTTCTACCACTAGCCCATCTGTATCCACCCAGTCCCTCTGTGTCTATGTTTCCTCCTTTCCAGCCCCTCTGTGTCTCTTTCACCCTCAGCCCCTTTGTATTTCCACCCCCAGGCCCTTCTGTGTGTCGCTTTCATCCCCAGCCCCTCTGTGCATCTTTGTGTCTCCCCCCCATCATGTTCCTCTGTGTGTCTTTCTCCCCACTCAGGCCCCCCTGTGTGCCACTCTCCCCTTCATGTCCCTTAGTGTTCCTCTTTCCTCCCCTCCATGTCCATTAGTGGTCCTCTAACTTCCCCATCCCTTAATGGTCCTCTCCCCTCCCCTTCCTGTCCATTAGTGGACCTCTTCCCTGTTCCTCTCCCCTCCATTCCTGTCCCCCCATTTCTCTTAGTGTTCCTCTTCCTTCTCTTTTAGTGGTCCCCTCCTACCCATGTTTATTTTCCCTTCCCTCCCCTGTACCTTACTGCCTGCCACCTTAATGTTCCTCTCTCTCCCCCTCTAATGTCCCATAGTGTTCTTTCTCTCCCTCCTCTTGTCCATAGTGTTCTTTCCCCTCTCCCCTGTCCCATAGTATTCTTTCCCCTCTCCCTCCCTTGTCCCATAGTGTTATTTCACCCTTCCCCTGTCCCATAGTGTTCTCCCCCCCCCCTCCCCTGTCCCATAGTGTTCTTTCCCTAGTGTTCATTCCCCTCTCCCCTGTTCCATAGTGTTCAATCCTCTCCTCCCCACGGTGTTCTTTCCCCCCATCCCATAGTGTTCCACCGCCCCATTCCATAGTGTTATTTACCCCCACCCCCACCCCGTCACCTAGGGTGTTTCTTACCCCCGTCTCCATCCCTTAGTGTCCCTCTTTCTCCTCCCTTTGGTCCTCTGTGTATCTCCTACTTCTCTTTGTAGCGTGGCCGAAGTGATCTCTCAGTGAGCTCTTCCTTTCAGTCCGGCCGGGTACAGGAAACAGAAGTTCCTGTACTGCGGTGCGCACTGCTCAGCTCAACCACGCTACACTGACTGAGTGAGTGGCAGGAGGGAAAGCTGTGCGCCCACCTCCTGCCGGTCACTCCAACCTAGCGCCCCTGGGCCGGTGCACCCTAAGGCGGACGCTTGTGCCGCCTTATGGACGCGCCGGCCCTGACTGGCACTATGAAGCAGGCAGTATGAAGTTTACACATCTGGCAAGCTTCCATCCGCTGCTCTCTAGTGCCGGATGTTTCCAGTTGCACTTTGATTTGCTTGGTGCCAAACTTTGAAGGAGTGAATACTGAGGTCTGCATTCACCAGTGGTACAAACCTCATGCTCCCCTGCTGAACCAGCCTTCTTGGCTGATATCCTCAGAAATTACAATCTGAGCCAATTCAATGCTTTCCTATAGGAGATCACCAATCCTGATGTCACCCAAGGAGAGAGATCAGGGGAAGAGCCAGCAGCAGCAGATTGGAATAAAGGTAAGATTTTACTATATTTAAAACGGCAATGGGTTGGGGGTAGGGGGGTTAGATAGTGTTTTTAACAATATATGGTCAGGAATACATTTGTGTTCCTTACCCTATAGTGTTCTTTTTACCTCAGATTTTTGTGCTCTTTGCAATTACTGTGACTGAAACAAAGACATTACACTTATTTTTGCAGTTATAGGTCACATGCAAAAATAGTGCTTTCCTGATTTATAGATCAAAGATTTAAAATGGTGATATGTTGGGTATCTATATTTAATAATATTCTAGAAACTATCAAAACTAAAGCATCTTTGTAAAAACATATTTACCTAGGAACCACATATTATGCAGTCATTTTATCACCAGTCACTGCCAACTTACATCTATCTTTTTAACAAATCCAGATATATTGTATTTTTTCTGTAAACTTAATTTATTCCAGTGTAGCCAAATCACCACATTTAAAAAAAAAAAGAGACACAAAAGACACCCAGATCACTTGATCTCTTTAGAGAAACTGCCTCTAGTGGCGGTCTGCCAGACAGCCACTAGAGGCGCTTCCTGCAGTTACAAGGAGCTTGACTCCATGAAATGACACTGGGCGTCTACTCGCTTCGCATGAGGACATCCAATGTGTTGAAAAACCCCATAAGAAAGCATCAAAGCTTACCCCTGTGTTTTAAAAGCCTAATGCACATGCAGCACATCAGTGGAGGAGGATCCTGGTCCAGCACTAAGGGATATCAGTCCTGTAATCAGGGAAGTGAAAAGGGGGAACTCAGCCTTTTACAGGGCCGTGGGGGCAGAGGGACTTTATAGTGTTAGGAATGGAAGTCTGTGTTTGGACAACCACATAAAGTCTGGACTGGGTAAGAATTGGAGAGATTGGCAGCTTATGCAAGCTGTTTTTAAGATATAACCAATATCAAAATGCATGATTGAATACATGAATGTTCTCATTGGGGTATAGACACGTTTGTTTTTTGTTTTAAATGTGGGCAGTGGAACGTATCTTTAAGATACATATTTATTTTTTCTACAAGAAGCATACCTCTCAATTTATCATCATTACACTGATCTGCCTGCCTGTCCCTCCAATGTGTCCACATTCCCCCGCAAAGATTTTATATCCTATTTAAAAAGTATTATCTTACCAAATGTTGTATCATCTGCAAATACTGAGATTCATTGAATTTCATTTTTTACTGCAAGGTCACAAATTAACAGATTATAGAGAAGATAAAAACACAAAATTTAAAAATATCAGCATTTTAATTTCACTGTTGCATGAGTACGTCATTGTCAGTTACAGAAACACTATAAGCAAATTAACTAGTACAGCTCTTTATAGTTCTAGAGCCAGGAGTGTCCTAACATTCCCAGCTGTCATGGTTATCACTGTGCCATCCAGATGACCAGGCATGGTCAACCTGCAGGTGCCAGACAGGAGATTTGAACCTGGACACTTCTGTATCCTAAGACAACTGCCTGGTCTCTGAGCCACTTCAGAACGTCTAGTTCTATCCCTGTTTACCTGGTATTGTCTGCAGCACTGGGGGCTGGACTTCACCTGTTTATCACTCTAACTACAACAGAGGCAGATTACTCATTATCCACCTATATAACACTGATTCTCCCTGAGGGCTGGGTCAGTTTATTGTTTCATGTTGCTTAAGACTGGCTTGTGACCCCCTGCTTCTGGATCTTTGTTATTGTCTGTTCGCTGTCTGCCCTGACCTTTGGAACCATGTCTGACTACTTTTCTAGATTTGCCCTTGTCTGTTTCCTCGTACCCGGTTATTGTTCCTGCCTAAGTCCCCGTGCACATATTCACAGCCTAGGTAGCTTCTTATCTGGTTACCGTGGGCTGTATAGTTTGTTGTTTCATGTTCCTTTAGACTGACTTGGCTTGTGACCCTGCTTCTGGATCTTCGTTATTGGCTATTCGCTGCCTGCGCTGACCTTTCAGACCGTGTGATTACTCTTCTGGATTTGCCTTTGTCTGTTTACTCGTACCTGGTTACTGTTCCTGCCTATGCCCCCGTGCACAGATTCACAGCCCAGGTAGCTTCTTCTTGGGCTGTGTTTATCTGCAAACTTCTCTGCACTTCGGACTCCAACTAAGGTAAGCCGTGACACCACCCTTGTAATGAATCAAACCGTTTTAGAACAGTTTGACTTCATACATGGGGTCTAACAGGTGCTGCTCCCTTCCTCCACTCCTGCTCAGTGAAAGCCAGAAGCTCTTCAGTGAGCTAAGCCTAGTGGTGCAATCCTTAGATCATTTGCTAAAAAGGATAGGCTGATGCTCTCTCAGGTAACGCGATCCCCTGAGCAAGATCTCAATGAGCGGTTATAGAGGCAGGAGCAGTGCCTGGTGGCCCCAAGTAAGAAGTAAAACCATTC